CTCCCTCTCCCTCTGCCACTCCCCCTGCTTGTGTTCCCTCTCTAGCTGTGTCTCTGTCAAATAAATAAATAAAATCTTTAAAAAAAAAAAAAAAATGCAACAGAGACTGTATTGTGGCCTACAAAGCCTAACTATGATCTGACCTCTTACTGAAATCATCTGCCACCTCCTGAACTAGACCAACAGTTGCATGTTCAACACAAAGAAATATTCCTTGCTCTATGTATTTTGAAAAACAGCCTCTAAGACTGAGCCAGGCAATACATTATTCTACCTCCACTTCATGACAGATCTGGCCAGAACACCCTAAGGCTGACCTCTGTTTAGTGTTTACTCTAGGCTTCAATTTCACCATCTTTAGGATTTACAGAGTTTCTAAATTTAAATGTAGAATCCCACGTTACAATTAGACAGGATTCCTATAGTTCCTGGGCTGTTCACTTGCCCAATGCCCGGCATTAAGTCACACTTTGGAAACCATCTTCCTGAAACATCACCAATCGTAGGTACTACAGGGTGAGTGTGGGGGAAGGACTGTACAAATCTTGAGAGAAGTGGGTGGTATCAAAGAGCACTATCCCAACAGGAGGGGGCAAGACCCAGATACATCCTGTGGCAGGGGAGGGGGTGTAGCTGAAGCACAGACACTAAGGTGCTTGGGCCCCCACTGTAGCAATTAATCCAGGAATTTCGTTAACAGACAGAAACACAATCTGAGATTTCAGGCTCCACAGTACAGTGCTGGGAAATGTGTTTCCTTCAGTATCTATTCCAATACATTCCATATATATATGTACTGAAAAAAGAACGGTCTCGTAACATGCTTCCTTTCCCAGACAGTGAAGTAAGTTTGGATTCTTTGGCACTTGGCCCAGTTCAGTGGGCAGACCTAGCTATGTGCAAAGAAGCCCTGCTGTATGCTCCCGCCAGCCGAGGTGGTATCCATGGGTGCTGACTGTCCTGCCACTGTCAAGTGCAGGGCTGGGCTGCCTGCCAGAGGAGAACAATGGTCAGGATATTTTCTTTTTTAAAGTTAATTTCTGGGTGTCAGGAATTCTTGGCGGAAGTTTCAGCTATCAAAAACTGTCCTCCAAATTTAAATGACTATACATCTCCACCCAAATCTGGGACTGACCCACGATGCCAAGATGCCTAGGGAAACAAGATGAGTCACTGCCTAAGGAACTGGCAGAGGACGTGGGGTTGGTTAAATGTTGTATATAAATGTGAGAGCTGGAAAGCAGGGAGACATCTGTGTGTTCAGGGGCTGAAATAAAAGCTGGGGCCTACATCCACACCAAGTAAATATTTCCACCCCTCAGAGTCCCTGAAATGCAGTGCATGGTTGCTCTGACCAGCTTTCCTCTCCAGAAAGGCCTTGGTCTATGACAAATCTATTTATCTGAACTTTTCATTATAACTTTACCTCTACGAGCTCATACTGACCCCAGTTACCAAACTACAATCAAGATCATTTTCCCTCTGCTTAGATCCTTAACTTACCTCCTCATACACTCCCGGGTGTCCACAGAGCAGGCTTACCACTGAGGCCCTCTATCTATTAATCTCATCCTCTATACAGTAGTTTCACATATTTTACAAAAGAGCCCTCAGTGAAAGTTTATATTTGACTGAATGTACAGATATTTTGAGAAGGGTCAAAGGAGCAAACATGAACCGTAAACTACAGGATATGGAAATATGATATGCCTGAGAACATTCTTTACAATTAAAAACAGTTGGGGGGCGCCTGGGTGGCTCAGTCAGTTAAGCGTCTGCCTTGGGCTCGGGTCATGGTCCCAGGGTCCTGGGATTGAGCCCTGCGTTGGGCTCCCCACTCAGCGGGGAGCCTGCTTCTCCCTCTCCCGCTGCCACCCCCCTGCTTGTGTTCTCTGTCAAATCAATACATAAAATCTTTAGAAAAAAAAAAAAAAGTTGGTAAAAGTCATGTGTCATCTCCTAAACTTTAAAATAACTGGACTAGGGTTCAGATCAAGGGGTCTATCAGCAAAGCAAGGGAACCTGATGAGCAAGAGACCACTAGAGAGCTGACAGACCTCAACAGCCTTCCAAGGCCCCTATTTCCCCAACTTTATAAAAGGGTGGCAACCATCCCTCTTCTCCTAGGTCATGAGGATTATCAAGAGTCAACAATTAAAGTAGTTTAAATGCAAATCATCAATATCAACCTCAGGATTCTTGAGTCTCTCTCCTTAAGGACTTAAAGACACTGACACACAGGTGAGGGACCGACAAAGCACAGAAGCCGCAATGGCGAGGTCTGGCTGGGGGCAGATAGAAAACAGTGCAAACACTGAAAAGCCGTCAGTGCAGTCACAGACTTCTACTTTGGGAAGATTTCTCAGGATACTAATGGCTCTAGCCTTCATCTCCCCCAGTCCCCATCCCCGATTTATTTTATTTTTTATTTTTTAAATTTTTAAAATTTTATTATTAACATATAATGTGTGATTTGTTTCAGGGGTACAGGTCTGTGATTCGTCAGTCTTACACAATTCACAGCGCTCACCACAGCACACACCCTCCCCCCATGCCCTATTTGAAAAGAAAAATATATGGTGGCTCCCTTTAGAAAGAATGCTAACTTTTCCTAATAAGATAAATGAACAGAGGATATTGGAATAGTATTTCTTGTTCCTCCCTTCAAATAAATCACATTCCCCATGGCACATTTTCAGAAACATTTGGGTGTGTTTTTTAAAAAGGAAGCCAAGCCCCAAATTCTGCTAAATTGGTACCGTTGCTTCCTCGCAAAATTAAATTAACCTAAGACAAAAGACTTATATTTCCAAAAATGGTGAAGAAGACAAAAATTAGCTCAATTATAATGGTTTTGAAATTGTGGGTTTGAATTTTGCATAGCACACGCATCTGTAATTTTTACATTCTTCTGACTTCTCAAACTTGGGTTTTTCAAGTGAAAGCAGGATTCTGGTAAGAATTGATATTAAAATGTCTCCAAATGAGACCAAATTAACTCCCAGCAGTCTACTCTTAATATTACATATCCTGGACTTATAATGTAAGCATTAAATACTCAAGAGCACTTACTGTGACCAAGGAAAGGGGGGGGAAAAAAGAGCAAATGGCAAATTCACACACAACACAACCATATAAAAATCCACTCACAAAATTAAGATGAAAATTGTAGCTGATCATTTAGGGTAGAGAGCTCTTCTCGCTCTCTTCTTTTCCAACAAATTTTGTTAATTTTATAGAGAAAGAGAGACACGCAGAGATAGGAGAGTGAGAACATTATAAAAAGTAAGTCCACTGAGCTGACCTTTAAAGACTCCTGGATATGCCCTAAAGCCTGGTCTTCCTGAAGTGACTCTGGATAAACACTCATCTCTAGAGCTGCGAACCGTGGACGCAAATACCTCTACCTCTTCACTGTCCACTGTGTATGCTGCAAGTGCCAACTGGCACGCTGCTGTCTGGGTTAGCAGTTAGAAGTGCACCTGCCAACCGGAGAGATGCTAAGTCCCGAAGCAGCGACTGGTTCTTCCAGAAGCCGCAACCTTTCTGGTCCCGCGGAAAGCCGTCAATCAAGTGTTTCAGAAAGTGGAAGGAAAACAAAACCTACTCAAGGAGCAGCAAGAGCTGGCTTCACATCCACGAATCAAAGCTCCTCCCCTAACGCCAGCAGCACCCCCGGGGGAAAGGGGCCGCTTGAGCTCCTAAGGCCCAGGGCTCCCAGTTAGGGTCAGGCCGTCGCCCAGCAGCGGCCACCCCGGCCCGGTTCTCCAGAGCAGGGACCCGCGGTGCTGACACAGAGGCTGTTGGTATGTCGCAGAAAACCCGTCCCGAAGCAAGGGCGCACGTCACCGGCCTCCGAGCGCCGGGCTGGCAGCTTGATGGTCAGGTTCCTACCACTGGCAGGAAACCCCTAGTGCACGGGGGAGGGCCCCCCACTGCCCGGAAGGTGCCCAAGTCGCCGCCCGCTCCGCAAGGGGGCCTGCACGCCGGGCCGGGCCTCCCCCGCAGCCGGAGCGGGCTGTGGCAGAAGCACGGGCGCCCCTTCTGAGCCGCAGAAGCCGAGCTCACGAGGATGCCGGAGGTGGCCGCCCGGGAGGGGACACTGAGGCTGAACACGTGAGCTGCACGGCTGCACGCAGCACCTCACCCCCCGGAAACGGACGCTGAGTACTTACTGCCACGAACAGCATGCAGTACATGGAGAACGAAGAGTGGCCCGAGTAAAAAGACAATCTAGAAGAGAAAGAAGACAAAGGTCACTTTTCTTTTCTAGAGGCGGACAATCGTCTTGATGTCCTAAATCTTACTGCCTCGGAGCAGACCCCTCTCCGCCCTCACCTTGACGAAGTACAGGAGTGGGGAAGGGGTGCCTATGACTGAGGCTTCCCTCAGGGAACAAACGTGCCACGGACATTTCTTGAAGTAATGCTCGGCAAGCCACAACCCACCGGTATATAAATGGTCGGACTTCATGACACGCGAACTTAAAGGACCAGGATTTCAGTTTTATTTTCTACCCGCAAGGTTTGCCCCGGAGTGCTAGTAATACCCCCTTTAGAACACTCAGAAGTCGGGCGCCTGGGTGGTTCAGTTGGTTAAGCAACTGCCTTCGGCTCAGGTCATGATCCTGGAGTCCCGGGATCGAGTCCCATATCGGGCTCCTTGCTCAGCAGGGGGTCTGCTTCTCCCTCTGATCCTCCCCTCTCATGCTCTCTCTCTCTGTCTCATTCTCTCTCTCAAATAAATAAATAAAATCTTTAAAAAAAAAAAAAAACACTCAGAAGTCAACTACTTCTTCAAAAAGAAAATCGACTTTAAAAAGTTAGAAGTGGTATTTTAGCCTTTTAAACGGGCACACATCCTGCCTTAGATTTCCCACCAGATGAAAGGGTTTTTGTTTGACATTTATTTTAAAACTGTGCACTGAGAGTCCGTACCAGATGAATCCACACTTTTCAGTATTATATTCTATCACCATGTGAGTATCATCTTCCCACCCAAAATGACAGAATGCTTGCAAAACTTAATTTTATGGCCCCTTCTGGAAAAGGGAGAAGCTTACTAACATCCATGATCTGGGTTCTGCTTACAGAGTGCTGGCCGTCGGAGCAGAAAAGGCAAGAACATTCGATCCAGTAATAGTAACTCCATGCAAAGGATGCATCAAGCAAATAATGAGAATGCTTCTTCTGCCCATGAATATGAACAAAACTCAGAAGGGCAGGCTTCTAAGTATTTTACTTATTACCCCCTGCTTGATTCAAAAGGAATTTGGTTACCTGGATTCAGAGAGGTGAAATTAAAACACAGATCAGAAAGTCATCTGTGGGGCGCCTGGGTGGCTCAGTCGGTTAAGCGGCTGCCTTCAGCTCAGGTCATGACCCTGGAGTCCCGGGATCGAGTCCCGCATCGGGTTCCCTGCTCAGTGGGGAGTCTGCTTCTCCCTCTGACCCTCCCCTCTCTCATGCTCTCTGTCTCATTCTCTCTCTCAAATAAATAAATAAAATCTTTAAGAAAAAGAAAAAGAAAGTCATCTATGTATGTTTGGCAACTGAGAGGAGGTGGGAGTGGAGATTTTTTAAGCATTGTACCGGTGATGATCTAGCAAGAATTAGGAGTCTTTTTCATAATCAGATACATCTCTAAGAAAATGAATATTCTCACGTCTAGTACCAGCTAGGAATTACATTAAACTTGATAATTACTGTGGATTTAATCTATGTAAAACAAGAAAAAGAAATCACTTTTAGCCTCACCAACTCTTTGGCTGTGGAGAATAGATCAATACAAGTCCTTCCTTTAAATTAGATAATTAGAGCAGAGTTCTACATATTTTTATGTTTCAGTAAGTTATACTGAAGAACCTACAAGTTAATAAAAGCCAATTTCAAGAACTGTCAAATACCATCAAGCCAACATGACCACGATCAAGGAAATGTTCTCAAAGCCGAGCAAGTTCAAAGTCTCACTAAGACTTCGTCTTCAGAGTAGTCACTATACACTGTGTGACAAAATTGTAAATTCCAAACCTACCTAACAGTTTTACACAGTTCTGATTCAGTCACAGGCTGATTTCACTAGGTAAAAACAAAATGGTTTCAGTTTTTTATTCCAAATACATAAAGAGGTATTTTATTCAGTATAGAATCAGCCAAATAACCTCTGACTTCAAACAGGGATTAAAACACATAAAGGGAGAACTCTATTTGACCTCACTCTTTAAGTCTCTAAGTCTGATCACAGTAAGTGATCAAACAAATCATGCTAATATGGACTTTTACCACTATTAAAACAGAATAAAACACCAAAATACAACTTCAAGTTATTTTCATATTCCATACACATATCTTTATTGGAATCTCTAGGAGATACAGCTCTTTATTATGTCTGAAACTCACAAATGAACAAATAATTGTATGAGTAGTTTGATAAAAATCCCAAAAGCAGGAGTGCCTGGCTGGCTCAGTCGGTGGAGCATGTGACTTGATCGAGGGGTTATAAATTCAAGCCCCACGTTGAGTGTAGAGATTACTTAAATTCTTTAAAACATAGTAATAGTAAAAGTAAAATACAATCCCAAAGGTAGTCAAAATGCAGATTGTTTTCATCACAGTAACCTCACTGAAGTACTTACGATTTTGGCCCTGGCCTCAGAATGTCACCCCGTTCTTAGATTTCAACCCAATCCTAGACCACCACCTCACTTCAGAAGAGGCCCTCTCATGACTGTAGATAGATAAACAATTTGCAGCAGCTTCCCATCAAAGCTTAGGAAAGTCTTTCCAGAAAGAATATTTACAGAGATCAAATGTATTCCGAAATGCAGCTATTTCACCAACTCAGGCATGACCTATGACACTGAGCAATAGGCGAGTCTGACAATGTAACCCACTGTGCACAGCATTCTTCTCCAAGTGGTAGATTTAAGATTTTTGTTTTATTTGCCAGCCAGGACCTCCCCTTCACCTGGGAGAGCTACTCGGCCTGCACCCTAATGTCACAGCCTTCACCCCGCCCCCGCCAGTGCCCATGCGTTCCCACTCCTCAATCCATCATTCTTCCATCTCCGTTTTCCAACATCTACATTCAGCCTTACAAACTGCAAAGACAGCCAAATCTAACCTTTATCAGTCATCAGAAGAAAGCAACTCACAAAGTCTTTCTTAATTTTTTTTTTTTTTTTTAATTTATTTGACAGAGAGAGACCCAGTGAGAGAGGGAACACAAGCAGGGGGAGTGGGAGAGGGAGAAGCAGGCTTTCTCCTGAGCAGGGAGCCCGATGCGGGGCTCGATCCCAGGACCCTGGGATCATGACCTGAGCGGAAGGCAGATGCTTAACGACTGAGCCACCCAGGCGCCCCGTCTTTCTTAATTTTTTAAATGGCATTTACTAAGTATTTTGGGGCTCGTGGTGAGGTTAAAGCACAACCTCCTAAAAATCTCACTGCTCTTGCCCTGCCCTCTGATTTTCTTTCCTCCTCCCCACTCCCCAGAGTTAAAAGGCACAAAACAGTTACCCCTTTAGCTATTCTTTTAGTTTGAAATATCTACTTTGCATTCATTCTTGAATGATGGTTTTCCTGAATATAGAATTGTAGGTTAATCCTTTTTTTTCTCATCACTTTGAGGGTATCATTTGACTATCTTCTGGCTTCTACATTTGCTATTAAAATAGAAGCCATTTGTCTGCCATTCCTTTCTAGGTTACCTGTCCCTTCTCTGTAATTACCCTCCCCCTCCTCCACCAAGGTCTGCAATGTTCTCCAGTCTCACGATCATGTATCTAGTAGGCATGTCTCTTTATTTATCTGATTTAGTATTCGTTGGCTTCCCATTTATATACTTCACCAATTTTGAACAGGTCTCAGCCATCACAACTTTGACTGTTATGTATCCTCCATCCTACTCTCTTTTTCTGAGATTCAGATTCAACATGTTTAACATTTTCATCCTTATCTATCTCTTAACCTTTCTTTTGTACTTTAAATCTTTGTCTATCTTCCATTTCAGCTCTCACTTTGTGTCTAAAGTCCTTTATCAGTCTATTTTTTTAAATTTAAATTACTACGTATGTATCATTTATAAAAGATCTCTTTGGTCCTTTTTCCAATCTATGGTCAATTTTGATCCTGTTCATCCTTCATTATATTCTCGGTCTCTATTTCTACACAGTAGATATACTGATTTTTATATTCTATATGGTAACTCTACTATCTGCAATCTGTGAGAGCTTATTTAGTTTGTTGTATCTCCTAACTCTCACTTAGGGTAGCTTGTTTCTATGTATGTTCATTCGCAGGAGAATATGAACTCATGTCCTTGACACTCTATCCGTGGGGAATCTTAGAGGTCTTGGTTTAAAAAGAGTTCTTCCAGCAAAGATGTGTGTTCTCTCCTGCTGGGTTCACTACCAATCCACTTTAAAAAATTTTAAAAATAAATGAATAAAAGAAAAGCCTGTCTGTTTATGGGAAACTCATATGAAAAGAAGGAATCTAAAAAGGAGAAGTTGAGAACTCGGGAGATAAAGGAAAGTAAAACTGGGTGTGCCTTGAAAATCAGATGACTGGGGAATAAAGGTTCTACACCCTGAGCAGTGGAACTCTGTGTCTCTGACAGATGAGCAGAGGTCAGGGAGTGACAAAGGTTACTGACAGAAGGGTAAAACAGACAAAACACTAATCAGGAGAAGAGAGGTCACAGGTTTCCTACAGCATGAGGGAAAAACTGATTACTTGGTGCAGAAAGACTCCAAATCACCAACATGGCATTATCGAAGAGTTAAAAAGTAAACAAAGGGCAATTGGTAGATTACACAAGGAACTTAACTCTGAGGCATTCCTATGCTGGCAACTAGTAAACACCCTACCTCCTACCGCCCCCACCTCCTTTTAAAACACACTGAACAAGGAAAACTACCTTGCTAAAAGGTAAAAGATTTCAGAGTGAGTCAGAAGGAAGACAAAGTTCTAAATCGCTTTCTAAGGTGTTTTTTAAGGGGCAGGAATGCTAGCCAGAGGCAAGACTGCCAGACCTCTACTTTTAGCCCTCTCCCAAAAAGACAACATGAAAGCCTCCTCAATCTGGCCAGTCCACTCCACTTCCTACCCTGATGCAGATCATGAAATCACCATTAACTCTTTACCAGCGGGGTCAAGAACGACGAGGCTCAAGACATCAGTCCAAGTCTGTACGATTATACATAAGATACGTTCATCAGAAAAATTCAGAAG